GCAAAAAGTTTTATTGAATTTAAAATTAGCATAATATGTCATGAAAGAATTTACTTTCAATTTTAGCACACACAAAATCAATGTTTATACTTTTTGCAGTGTCATTTAATTACACTACATGAAAGTATTCTTTGAATACAAATGATAATCAATAAATGCAAATAATTTTTATCATACGGTGTGTATTACATAAATGTATTTTGCACAATAAATTATGAAATTCAAGTTTATTACGATATTTTGTATACCTTCTAAATATTCAAATTAACTGTTAATATAATATGTTTACATAAATAAATATGATGTAAAATTAATATTAATAATATGCATAAATTTTATATTTGTTATTGTAGACTATTTAACAATAATTATCATTGTTATGCAAATTAATTTGTTTCAAGTTAATACACTTAATATAGCTTAAAAGTATTCTATAATATTTATTGGCATTAAAATATGTTATTTACTACAAAAATTTTGGAGTGGATTTAAAAATATTTTAACTTGACTAAAATGTTTGAAGTCAATTTAACTATTAAATTTCGTATTTTCTCATAATTTATATAATAAATATGTTAGCTAATATTATACTAAATTATTAGGAAAATGCTACTTTTCTCTTAATGCAAACAAATTAATATTTACTCATGAAATATATTATGAATATAAAAAATTATATCACATCAATATTTAAATATACTATCTATCTCTGTAAAATACAGTGTATAAATAATTAATAATTTAACACTTACTTTAATTTAACACTTCATGTAGTAAACAGTAATACATCTTACTTTAATGGTCTGCAATTTCAAACACTGTAAACTTATAGATTTTCGCTGTCCTCTGTCTGGTTTCTGTCTTTTGTTAAACTGGAGNAACGGACGTTTCGGATAACCAGCTTTCGGATAAACGACGCTCTACTGTATTTTACTGTAATGAATTATACTGATAGTGACACTACTTTTTATGTAAACGAAAAATATATTTAGTCGTAAGATATATTATTAATTATTAATATGTAGTTTAATATTAATGTTCATATATTTGTTTGTTCGCTGGAAAATTTAATATGATTTTGTAAACTTTATTAAAAGCAAACAGTAAATAAAATGTTATATTAGAGCTTACAATTAGAGATGTTGTTTTATGCCTTCAAATTACTTATTTACTCAATAATAATGTAAAGAAATCATATGATAATTCATTGAAAGTTTCAGAAATTTTCGATAATTGAAGTTTATATTCGAAGATAAAACAATACTCGAAAGAATTTAAGTTTCCCACGAGTTAAGTTCTATGTAAACTTTTCTAAACTCAAACTGTTATATACCGACATACATTACATTATTTTTTTCAGAATTCTGGGAATTTTCTGACCTTTGAAAACTTACAGAGGAACTTCCACCTTAATTAAAATAACTTTGAAGTTTTTTATAATTGTCGTTAAAGGTTGTGTCTTGTTTTTTAGCAAAATTGTTTTTATCTGAAATAAAACTCTTTGTAAACCCAACTGAACATTTGGCTTTAGGACTATAGAAAGTTGTCTTTTCTCTGCAGACCTAAAATTTGAAATAAATTTTAAAATGTCAAGTTTCTGAAATATTTGCATTAACAAATTTAATTAATTATTTCTTTCTTTATGCGTCATACAACTAGCTGAATTCTATTTTGTAAAACAACGTACAACGAACTCATTCGATGTTATCGAGACTTCGATAAAGCTGACAATTGAACAGTACTCGTCTCACATTGCATCGTATAGAATTTCATATGACGTTGTCCTAGCAGCAGTTTTCCATCATTTGTTAAACAGAGAGAGAGAATTCTAAACTCCCTTCATTACTTTCAGTGGTTTTCTTCTATTTTTAAATAACAAAATTAGTTCCTGACTTGTTATTGTTCACACTATTATTGTATTGCAGATTACTTAATTATATGTACAAGTGTATACTATAATATATAACTTAGTACATTTATTCATTTTTCTAACTACAGTGCATTAATTAAATTAATAAGTAATAAGTTAAATACATAGATTATTAACATTTATTAATAAAGATAATAAAGGTAACAAGTTTATCCAAGTGATATTAACTGACATGGGCAGCTGAGTGTTGTAATTTGTTAACTGTCACCTGCAAAGTAATGAGAATGTATAGCATATTTTTAAAGTTGAGTAAACAGTGGAAGCAAATTTTATGATAAATTCTTTGATATATCTGAATCGATATTCGCGTTTTAACGCTATTCTAAATATGTCAGTTCTGTTACTGTTAAAAATAAATTGATAATAGTTATGGCACACATTTTAACCAGATATTAAGAAAGGACAATAGGCAGAAAAAAATCACACAACGAACAAACTATTATTAACAAAAAGCTTTAAACTGTTGTACCAGTAAGAGAATTTAATTTACATACCCGACATATCTACAGAGAAGGCTGAAGACAGATAATTAATTACCTTGCATCACATATGGTTTATTTTAAATTATTTTTTGTATTTTTATAATATGGATGTTGTCAGGGGATCTGTATATAGACTAATAGGGCTTAAACCCTGATTTCCCAAGTGTCAAGAGTCCATAAAAATTTAATTATTGTGATACATTTTAATACTTTTTCATTAGCAATGAGCACTTATCGTATAGTAAAACATAATTAATACTAATGATAGAATAATAATAATAATGATAATTTACAGTATTATTTGTTTCAGTGTAATAATTTTTAATCTAACAAAAAATGAAGCCTCATTGAATTGTAATAAGCCTTAGGCCCCGAAAAAAACTAGATCCACCTCTGGATGTTGTGAATGAAAAGAAAATTTATAAAAACGAATTTATTTCATTATTTGTTACACTGAATCTCTGTTTAATCTTAAAAATAGTTAACTTACATGGGTGAATTCGGTTTCTTTATGCACTGGCATATTTACTAATAAGTTTAACTATAGTTTGAAATCATGCGAATTACAGCAAGAAATAAATTAACAGAAATCATTCATACAAATTTCTATGCGTAAAAAATTCTAATATATAAACTTAGTATAGTTATTTGAAACATTCTACATATCATTCCTGTGTGTAAGGAGAAGCAGATGTTCGATTGAAGTGTCACAGTTAGGAACCAAGCAAGATCTGATCTATGTTCCCAAGGACTGTTCTTTCCTTTCGAAAAGATCCATTCGTTTCCATAGATCCTAAACATCACTCCCAAATTATCCAACGCTAAACTGTTTTTTCCTTCTTCTGTTTTCACTCTCATTTACTGTTTCATCTATAATCAGGCGATTGCTGCTTGTTCTAAAACTTAAGAATGTCCACAACTGAAATCTACTAGAGATGCCCTGCGGCTACCTTGGGGCCAACAAACCGTTGCGAGTAAGCTACAAATGTAACAATGACGCGAGATGTCTGTATTGAATTCATAAAGATTAACAGGAAATTGCTCGGAAGTAAAAGCTTGGATAATTGTAAGTATTGCTCTAACAAATAAAACAGTTCGTTATATAATTAGTCTGCTTCAGTTCCTTCTCTACACACGAGAAAACACCAATCTATCAGTAACCTGGCAGGTTTAGCTATCGTTTGGTGATGTTTATAGTATATTTATTGCACTACTGTCAGAAATAGAGATAGAAAGTAATGTGTAGTTACATCAAACGTTAGGGAAAGCAATATGTTAAGAAAACGTCAGAAAAGTCTTTTAAAGAGAACGTATATCTGAAATGTAGGCTGCTATCAAGTGATTAGTTGGTGATATTTTGTGTTTGAAGTTATGATTACGACATTTATATGAAAACTATGCATTGTTGAAATTAGGAAATAGCCCTCCAATAGAGGAATTTGTGCAATTTGAGTGAACAATTCAAAAAGTAAAATGACACACACAGCAAAAATCTTGAAACCACTTTAGCTTCCAGAACCACTTGACACATTTCTGTTTGTTAAAAACCACTCTTCATTGCCATTCAAAGGCAGCCATTCACGAAATAGTCTATTCAACCATTTTAAAGACAATATCCAGAACAAAGTCTGTTATCTTTTTGTCAAAAATCTAGGAATATCAATAATTATTCCGAATTCAACTTATAATAAGTATCAGTGCCACTATATTACTATTGTTAAAAGCTTTCCTTCCAAACTTAAATTACTGGAGCTGACATAAAAGACGTAACTATAATTAGTTTCAAAAAACATAAGTTAAGGGACAAAGGTCAATTGATATTTAGACACAGTGTTATGTCGTGGACGCTAAGGTAACGAAGTTTATAAAGCTCCAATATTTTAGGGGCGTACGTTTGTACTTTAGGATGAGATATAATTATGAAATAAGACCTGAATACATCGATTAAACAAGCGAAACTAATTTTCCCCTCAAGTGAAGGAGTGACATTTTCTGGTCGAATAAAATTTCATAGTCATTTCTATAGCCAAACAGTCAGAGCAAATCAGATACTAAACAAATATATGTAAACGAACGATGAACATCCAAGATTATTTGACTTGATTACATATTGCCCGACATAACGATAAAAAAGCAAAAATAGCAATAATAAGAACAGTAGTTGCAATAATCGAAAAAAAACATGAAAGTATCATGAGAGTATCATGAAGAACATGAGAGTTTTAGCTATTAGCTTTTATGTAAGAGATCAGAATTGCATAAATAATCTGTGTTATCTTTGTATTATGAAAAAATATTTCAATTCGTTAGCTTTAAAGATAATGTTCAAACTTAAACGGCATGTTGTTAAATGGCCTGCTTCAACTGATTCTTTATTGTGTGTAATATAATTAAACAAATGAAATTTGCTTTTGAGTTATCTCACGAACATCATCCCTTGTATTTAATCACCTTATTAGCTAGTATTTATTGTACTCCTACTCAATTCCATAAAAGAAAAATTACTGACACACTGAAGAGAGATTTCAGTTTCGAACACAAACCTTAAATATTAATATATGCAAATAAAGAAAACAACATTATGTATAATCACTTTTTTATTACTAAATAGTATTTCGTATACAAAATAAAAGCTCATGACTTTTGCTGTACCTTCTAAAGCAATTGTTTGCGAAAAGTATCTAGAAAGTTTTATTTATTAATAAAGACGTATCATTTTCAATTATTTTGTGTACACTCTTGCATTTTGTTTTATATCTTAAAAATGGTAATTAAAGGTAGGAAAAACTGTATTATCACTTTATCACATAGTTATTATAGTATCTATAAAATTATTTTTTAAATAACAGTTCAAATTATTACATTATTAATTATCATATCCGTTCATCCGTAATATCTGTATATTTTACTGAACGTTTTGTAAAATAACAATAAATATATAAAATAACAGAAAAAATTAATAAAATAAAAAACTATTTTATGATGTTTCAGTCTTCTCCCTAGGTGATATTTTAATTAGAATAGGCTGACTTTCTCCAATTACAATGTCATCCAAACAGGCAACAACTTCTCGTGGATGAGTTTTTACGTTTAAGAATCGCATAATATATGATAAAGTGAGTTTCACTTCCATCATCGCTAACCGATGGGCTGAAATGTGAAAATATTAAGTTTACTTGTTATTTCTTACTAAATTTTCACTGATAATTACATTTAACAGTGTAAAAGTAAATTTTAAGTAAAATAAAATTAATTGAAATTAATTAATTCAATTCATTAGTAAATTTTTGTAACGTTACTCGTTATTTCGTGTTTTTGTAACGTTACTCGTTATTTACTTACCATTGTAAAAACACATGAAGAGAATAAAAACAAGAACTATTGCTTGTATTACACAAGAATTACAAGTGTGATTCGAGGAACGTTTAGTGTTTTTCATACCGCAATAATCAATTTCTCATTGATCGAAGAAGTTTATAGCAGAGTTTGTCAATACCTTTTTGTATTATTTATGTGGCTTTAATATTTTAACTTCACACGCCTTAATTTCAATATATCAGGAAATCGCCTCTAACTACCCAACCTTTGTGATATATGTAGTGCTCAAAACTATTCATTTGGCATTTACTCTTAAATCAACATTTTTATATAAAAAGAATCTTACCAATACATTTTCTGACCCCAGTTGAAAAAGGGAGATAGGAGTATGGATCTCTTTCTTCAGAATTCTCTGGAAGAAATCTGTCCGGATCAAACACTTCTGGATCGGGATATAATTCCGGATTTCTATGCATATGATATAAATCGATGAAATAAACGGAATTTTTCGGAAAACTTTCGTCATCTGTAAATAGAATTTCATGGATAATAATTATATGTTGCTCATAAAGTAGAAAGATTATAATTCTACAATATTCTTATTAATTATCTCAGAAAATTTCATTATAGATTTATTTGAATACACTATAAGCTTTAATAAGATAGACCTTAACGTAGTGTCAATTATCATAGACTTTCTGTCTATGACAATTGATACAACATTAAATTACTACAATACTATGTTACATTACAATAATATAAAGAATGGAAATAATCTTACTAAATCGTAACACTTTTTTAGTACTTCTCATGGTAAATGGCACAGCAGGATATTTTCTCAATGTTTCCTAGATTATACAGAACACATAATAATTAGACACTATACGTAAACGATTTAATATAAATTAAATCGATATTTTCTAATGTTATTAAAATGAAATTATTATCTCTTCAACTTTTATTTAAAAATGTCGAAATTGGCCACTCGTAACAAAAATATTTCTTTTTTTTTTAAGATTAAAATTCTAGAACTGGCAATGGATTTACCACAATGATGTCAAAATTCAGAACAATTAACACATTTAATAGCACAAAAATAGAAACTGATGCCACTAAGTTTTCCGAAACATAGAATATACTGTACAGGACCATTCATGACAAATTGAATTATCATATCAGTTGAATTGACAAGTGAGGAAACATAAAATTTATGAAGCATAAGAAAAACTGGTGTTTCATGAATCAGTGACTCGACTCTTTCTGAGTGTTGATTGTAGTTGTTAGGTCAATCAAAGTTATATGAAGTAACATTGCAATATCTTTTAAATAAAGTATTGAGGTGTAGGACAATTGCAGTAGTAGATTTGGTGCAGGGCAGTCCAATACAGAGATAATCAGATGGCAAGCAGTCGATAAACGTAATGCTCATGATGTGGGAATAATTTCAAAACAGAGAAACCGTCACCATAACAGCAAGTGGAGATCAATGAAAATCAACGTCTCTTTGTGAAAATCATCGAATGGCTTTAACTCCCGGTTTCACAGCACAAAGGCATTCTCCGTGAGTTTTCTGCTCCCTTTGATATATTAATATCAAAGAAAGCAATTTGTAATGATTAAAAAGGAGTTTTATGTTAGGTGAAAATTATTCTTTTTTTCGACAATTATCCCCATCTTTTCAGGTACTATGAGAATCATCTGTCAATATAGAACCACTGAACTATTCTTGTTCTCTCTCTTGAGTCGAAATACACTTTGGAAATGTGATTTTTGACGCGATGACCTATACACGGATCATAAGATAAACTATCAATCCTCAAACGTCAAAGATAACAACTGCTATGGTGGAACTGATGTTGGTGCGAGAGATCGCTGCACATCCCAATACATCCTCAAAGATTGTACCGGAGTATGCACCAATAAACCATGGCCAACGACACTTCAAAGAAGCTTGCTATGGGCTGAGCGCTATACAGATGAGATCTCTGAATTACATACAGGACAGGCTTTTTCGGAGTGTCATTAGATCTAATTAATTTTTATAGACAATAAAAATATTTGCGTATTCGTATTGTTTCCAGACCAGAATCTGATTATCCGTGTTTAAAATTCTCTGCATTCATTCAAACCTCTCTGAGGGCCTGCCAAGTGTTGAAATGTGCTTTTGTTAAGTGGCGTGTTTATTACAATAAAACCTTTACAGAACCTCTAAAAATGTATGCTTGTCAGGGAATCAAACACTTCTGGTTTTTCTGGAGATTTTGACGTCGTGTTTCATGTATGTTTGGCAATATATACATATCTTTGAAAGTAAATTATTTATTTTCAGTTTGTACGACTAATAATCTTTGTTGTCATGTGGTATCTGGGTACAAAATTTCATCTGAATAACGAAATACTTTTCCACACATCTAAAACGTGTGCTTGCTGCCTTAATTAATTTTACACACCACAGTATTACTACTGCTACTAACCTTATATTAAATCTGTAATACTTAACTCATAACGTTTGTATTAATTAATGATAACTATGCACAAAGTTTGAAACTTACCTTAAGAACACATTCCAAGTATGCCATTTTCGATAAATCTTCTTTTGTCGTTGTTCGTGACGGATCATCTCGAAATATTTCATCTAACTCTTCCTGAATTTTCTCTTGAATCTTCGGATGTCTTCCCAATTCGTACATAGCCCATGTCATTGTTACAGTAAACGAATGATGACCCTATTTTATTAGACATTATAAAAGTCTGTGGTTTATAAATAAATATTTAACAATACAAAATAAATAACGATTTTCCTTAACTCGACACTTTATGAATGTCACTTGTAAAATACATTTTTATGGATAAGGTGAAAACATAAAAATTTTAAATTAGACATAATTAATGATGGCGATAAAAAAATCGGTATAAACACACCAAAAGTGCAATAAGACAAAGCATGAGTGCAGCACAGCATAGAATTAATTAAAAAGGTTTCTGTACTTTTTTCGATACTTCTTGGAAAATTTTATGCTTGTGCCCTGATGATTTGAGCGCTTTTTCTTTTCTTGTGCTACTTGCAGAAAAACACAGGCTTACGAAAAATTTAAATAATTACATTTAACGTTTTGATATCTTGAAATGAAAGAAAAGTTAAAATAAATTGTAAAACGAAAACAATTCTACAAGAAACTTTACTAGTGGAGTCACATTTTTCAGATTGTTTTAAATAAAAAATATTTTATTTGTCCAAATCGACTTCACATAGTCAGTGACACCTCGAATGACCTATTCTCCTAACCAATCAACGTGATTTAATTATGTAAATTTTGCAAATCGCTCTACTTGTGTCTTTCATGTTTGATTATTTGCAGACTTTGTGTTGCAGATAGCTTTAAAAGTTCAAAAACTTAATTCTCTGTATTAAATTTAAATGATTGATAGTTACGGTGTATGTACATAACAAGCATCTCAAGTTATGTTAATAATGCAAATAATTATTTATCAAACTGTGAAATTGTTATTCAACACAAACTTAAATTTGGTCTAGCATAGAACAATCATAGTGTAAGGAAAAGAGATTTATGAAAGCAAAGAATGCTAAATCACATCGCTTAAGCTGCAAAGATGCAGAGGCCCAGGACTTGTCTGACAGAAACCATACATATGTCATTTTCTTTGTGAGTCTAGAAGAAATAACAGGGTTACTTTCTGTACTTCCACTAAAATCTACTAACATTTATACAAGTATCAATGGATATTATCAACGTTGAACTTACCATTTCCACGTAAATTGGCTGGACAAATAAAGCATCGTTTTCTGTTTGCAGTAATATAAACTCTTCTAACACACGCTCCTGGACACAGCGGAGTTCGCATCACTTATGAGTGAAGTAGGCTCAACGGATCAACAGTGGTAACATTTGAGCTGGAATAGATGGCCAATGAGTGCTTGGACATTTATTATTCACTATATCTTCAACTTCCAAAATCACTTTGAGCTCTTAAAACAGAAAGACAGGCCTCTGCTGAAAAATTTAGATCTTGACAAAGCTATTTTTTGTCAACATGATGAAGCATCTGCAATTAGGATATTCAAAATGAATGGTTTAATGCCACATTTCCAGTCAAATGAATTGAATGAGGATATCTGATTTAATAGCTTTCCAAAACGTCTGGTTTGACACCATTACATTTCTTTTTTTAAAGCTACATAAAATATAGTTTTCCAATTACAATTGAAAATGTTACACAATTTCAACAGCGCATAATTTACATTTCAGCAGAGACAGCGACAAAGTAGTTTTGATGAAGATTGCGAAAGAATTTATTACAAGTTTTCCTTGCAAATTGTCAGGTGCCACAGAATGCTTATTTTGAACACTTAATTTCCGTTGGACATTCAAAGATAGGTTTAGTTTCCTTTATACAATGAAAAGCAGTATGAAATTATAAGTAATGATTTAATTTTTTCTGCAAGCCTTTTACACAATTAACACAGCATATTTTCAACAAAGAAAAAAATCTTAATTGAAAAAATTACTCTTAAGCATTAGTGGGCAACATTCAATACTATTTCAAATACAATATCTTTATTTTTGATGCTATGCTGGTATTCTTGCTTTGTCATGGTCATCTATGATGCGTTTTGTACAAACACCCTACATTATGAATGTGATATTGTTTGTTATTTTACAGTCGTGAATGAAACTAAAATCACGAAACATATATCGGTACTTACTGCTCCTAGAAAAGCCATTACGTCATCAACGACATTTTCTATTGTAACATCAGGATGATTGGTCATCAAATAAGGTAGAAGCAGATCGATAATCGACAATGCCTCTTTTTCATTTCTACGTGAAACTTTTGTATTTAAATCTTTCTGTCGTTCAATAACCAACTGAAATTATCAAGATATTATAAACAACAATAAAAGTTCTACAGAATATACTTACACGAAATTGAAACTTTTTCATGATACTCAACTCGTTTCAAAATATCCCTCCCAATTCTTTTGCATTCATTAAATTTACGACCATGTTTTGTAAAGGAAAAAATAATATTTGGCCATAAAAATACATTAAGGAGTCTCATTATAAGAGATGACGACAATCTATAAATACAAAATTATTTGTCTTTATTAAAATGACTTCTCTATACAGCTTTGAAGTCTGAATTTTATGTATTATTATCAATTAAGAAGTAAATGTAAATGCGAATGAAATTTTATTTAATATATATTCTAAATATTTATTTGAAATGCTCTAGAAAGTCATTTCTTCTTGCAATAATTAAANCGGTGGAGGTGTAAACTGGTGCCGGAAGAGAGGGAGAGGAGAAGGGAAATGATACTAAAACTTAACTTACATAACATAATGTAACAATAACTTAAAAATAACTTAGATAAAAAAATTATTGTTGTTTATTTTCCAGAGTTTGGAGAAAAATGATTTTTAAAGTTACCAGCATTCTAATGTTGTTAATAACGCGTGTTAATTGCATGTTTGGCAGAGATAAGTTAATATATTTTCATGTTTTTGTGTTTTACCTTCAAATGGATGTTTTTAGTCAAATACTTGAAATAATTCAATTATCTTTTTCTATTATCTAATACACTGTAGTAATATATAATATTATAAACTGAAAATAAGCACTTTTTTCTTTCAAATGTTAATGTGTAATCTTCGGTGATGTCATACCACGTCTGGGTGGCTTGTATTTTTTCACATGTATTTAACAGATTTTCTTTATGTAAACTTTTTTTGATTATTCTGTGTTCTTTAAATTTACCTTTGTATGTTTTTTCATAATTTAACATTTTAATTTGGTTTTGTGAACCTGTCACTTCTGTGATAATACCATGGGGATTATTTTACTTTAAAATATATAGAGGCGCATTTTCTTTTACTTAATCATGCCTGTCTCTTCTATGTAAGATATAGATGTTGCCGTACACATTGTAAACTATACACGATACCTGCATTATCTGTTTTTTTTTTTTTTAGTTTTTGTACCAATCTTATTGTGGAATATATTTCTTACTTTATTGCATAATGTATGGGCAATACATATATTGAATTTCAGCATTATATTGAAAAGTTATTCGAAAATATTTTTTATATAACAACTATTTGTAGGCTGCTTTTTGTTTAACATTTTTCATCGTTCCTATAAAAAAACAGTGAATTTACTACTTCTTCTATATTGATCTTGGGTAATCATTTAATAAATATTTTTTATTAATATTCGTCACTCCTTCTATTATATGGTGTTCGCATGTAGTTCTATTAAACATTTTCTTTCGATTTATAACGTACTCTTTCTTTTAAAAGTTCGTCGGGTAGTTGTAGCAGAAATCTATTGTTTATTAATATTACAAGTTTTTTTCAAAAGTGCTGTACGTGAATCAGGTTGGCTGGTTTAGGATTGTAATATTTAATCAATTATATATAATACACATAATTTAGTTCATGACTCATTATAACTAAAAAACATTTTTTGAAAAAATACAGGTACTAACGAGATAAGAACTGATAAGGAGTATGTCATCTCAATTGCGTTTTATAGTAACTAATATCAATAAAGTATATATTCATGACTGTTGTCTACAAAGTTTTCTATATAATAAATCTGTAAAGTGCGATACTCTATGCTTTGAATTTGAACCTGCGACTATACTGTATTAATATTATAATTTTATAAATGGAATCATTATAAATTTGTTCTAGAACATAAAGAAAGTAGACAGGCCGATACTCTTTATTATGAAAAGAGATATGTCAGAGTGTAGGAAAAGCCTACGTGCCATATAGTCAGAGTGTAGGAAAAGCCTACGTGCAATCGCTTCTCACTACAACATTTCAAACAGAACCATAAAGTTTTTCGTGAGGACATAGCTGGAACACCGCAAAGTGTATACCCTATAAGTTTATAGAATTTTTCGAAAATATCCTTAAGACCAAAGAATGGAGCTTTTCCAGCAGAATCTTTTGGTTACCGAAATGATGTTGATATGTTTCTCCAGAACATTATGGCAAGCAAGAAACGTAATGCCACCACTATAAACTATGAAGAGAATTTCAGAGCATGAAGTGGAAAAAACCGGAGTAGAAACGTTGCCGAAAGCTCAAAGTACGAGCATGAAATGGCAACGTGCTACTTGTGGCTTTCTGTTGTCACTTTAATTAAGAACTTTCCAGTCAACGTGTATCGTTACCTGCACACGCAGAACCTCTACCCTCCCTTTTGCATATAAATATACGTTTTACTAATTAATAATTATGATATATCGACTCGAACTTCGTAATACGAGACTGAGTTATGTAATGAAAAATAGGAAACAAACAATCAGTGAAGATTTTAGCAGAGATCAGATTCAGATCCGTAATCCTCAAATAAGCAAAGAGTTATTAGAGGTGTGTAATTTATTATTCTGTTGAACAAACCATTCTTTGGAGATCTTTACAACAACGGCATTATAAACCTACTAAATTAAGAGAAAAAATAGATCATTATAAGGTATATATTTAATATTACTTACACGTCATCAACTTTGTCATAAATAGGAAACAGATTAAAATTTTTCCAACTTTTCGGAAATGATAACACAGTTTCTGTAACAAATAACTGTTAATTATCAATATTAGTTTTGCATTTTTATACTGCTAGTTCATAAATAGTATACAATGATGCGAGAAACTTGTGCTGTTAAGTGACATAATCACGTTAGCAATTACTCTAAATTATAGAAACGAACAATTAAATTGTTAAAAATAAAATTATAAAAAACTAAAATGAAAAAAGATAATTAATTAAAGCATAATGTTATCTGCAATAAATTGGGAATAATAAATATTTAATTAATTTAATTTTTATAAACAAGAAGTTTTCATCAATACAAGACATCAAAATTTAGACAGTAAATTCGTTTTGTTATGTTTCTCACCAAGAAGTATATAAAAAACACGTTTTTTATAATTGGTAAAATGGGTGTCCAATCCGCTTGACATTTTTCTTTAAGCTCAGCTACAAGTTCTCTTGCATTTTCATCAATAACTGACTGAAATTTATCAATAGTCTTTTGTGTAAATGCAGGAGCATGTAATTTTTTTCTAATTCTCCATCTGTCTCCATTTCTAAAATGAAAACAATGTACACAAAATATTGTTATACATTAAATGCTTCTATCATATAAAAATTAAATATAAAAATAATAAACTCATACTAAGAAAGAAGTCATTAAAAAGATTAAAACTTTCAATAGTGAAATTGCCTAATGAATTTATTTATATATATATTACTTTCTTTATTTAATATATCAAATAATTCCACCATTATTACCTTTTTTGCATGAAAATGGTAAATAAGATAAAATACATTGTTACTGTATAGTGGCATTTCTATATTTCGTACTTATACTTTCATACTGCAAGAAGAATCGTGATTTCTTTTGTGAAACAGCCAACTTTGTCATATTACATAATATATCAGCGTGTTGGAAAAGTGAAGCTTTGAATCCAAATTGTGGTCACTTGACCACCTTCCGAGTTTAAAATACTTATGAAGAACCATACGCTGTTTATTTATGATCTGCAGCGAGTGCTTTCAACACTTTCTACAGACAATCTCGCATACTATAAAAACAGATATCAGTACTGTCATTTTTTAACGATGAGAAGATGCACGTATAGATCCGGTTTCAAGCAGAAGCGAAAACAGAGAGTATTGAAATAAGTTTATACTTGTATCGCTTTCTTAAAGAGAGCGCTTTACTTGTTATCAAACTACCACGTATATTTTTTATACCAATGGCGGACGAGAGAAAAATTTCAATGCTTTTAGCGAACTTCAGCAGACTTACATAAAAAGCAGGCACTCCTTTCTACCACGCGATTTAAAAGAATAAAAAGAATTTATTTACGCATACGAAATGCTAGAGACTCTGAGTAATTACTGCAAATTTTAAAAATAGTGTGCTAAAAGTCAGACACCAAAAGCAACTTTCTTTGGCTGAAAGTTAAGAAAATAGTATACATTGGTTCCCTACAGTAAATATAAAAATAAATTGTTCACTTTCCCAGAAATTCAGCAGAACTCTTATTAGACACTAAAATGTGGTAATGCTTTACAGCTAATAATACAAAATTATAAATAGATGTTTAGATAAATTAGTTGAAAATTATAATTAATTATATCTTAGATCAATTAAAATAATACTAACTAAGGCCAGTAGAAAAGAAAACGAACCAACAGTTTATAATAATATGTTCAAAATAAAATCTGTATCCGAACCAAAATATAAAGTGTATGAGAAGATAAGAATAAGTCAACTCAAAATTACTATAACTTACAAAATTATAAACTTATGGCAAATAGCATGGTTAAATTAACTAGTAATCTACAAGAAGAAACCATTCGGAAATACAATAAAATATTTTACTCAAGCCAAATTAGATCTTGTGATTACGAAGGGTATGACTCCATGTCCATTAAATTAAACTTTGATAAAAACATTCACCATCAAAGCAGGAATTTTATTGTGAATTGAATTAAACTATCATATCACATGAAAAGTAAAGTCATGCACACAAAATTTGGAATGATTTTAATACTAGAAAATGGAGATATTTTGATTTATATGTTAAATTCGATTTATACCATGTGTATTCAGCAGAGAATACAATTTTACTAGAAAACTTAAGCTTTTTCTGAAACAATATAGATTAATGAACTTTTAACCCACTGCCATAGGCCATCAGGTTTTAAAATACGTTTAAGTAAATCTTTCACAAATAAAANAATTCAAAATTCCTATAACTTACAAAATTCTTATAAACTTATGGCAAATAGCATGGTTAAATTAACTAGTAATCTACAAGAAGAAAAAACAATTCGGAAATACAATAAAATATTTTACTCAAAACAAATTAGATCTCGTGATTACGAAGGGTGTTCGTGTGTATGACTCTGTGGACATAAAATTAAACTTTGATGGAAACTATTACCATCAAATCAGGAATATAATTGTGAATTGAATTAAACTATCATATCACATGAAAAATAAACTCATTCACAGAAAATTTGGAATGATTTTAATATTAGAGAATGGAGGTATTTTGATTTATATGTTAAAACCGATTCATAACATGTGTATTCAGCAGAGAATACAATTTTACTAGAAAACTTAAGCTTTTTCTGAAAAAATTCTGGCCATCAGGTTTTAAAATACGTTTAAGAAAACCTTTCACAAATAAAATATTCAGTTTACTATATACATTTCAAGTATTTTATCAATAATTACAATTTAAAAATACAATCGCTGTCATAATATTAGCAAATATTAAGAATATTACAGACATTTGCATTAAAACATATAAATTAGACCCAGCTACTATACAGCACAGTTATTAGCACGAAATGTCGTGTTAAATACATGAGGAAAAGGATTAGAATTAGTGATGTAACGAATATTCGGTTACTATTCGGTATTCGGCCTATTCGGCATATTTTTCACTATTCGGCCGAATAGCGAATATTTAATCACTATTCGGCCGAATACCGAATACCTAAAAACAGGAGTAATAAATAACAAAAACACAGTAAATTAATCATTTCGGTACTTAGATTTAACGTTATCGAGTTAGTGTTGTTTGTATATATTTATTTATAACTTGTAACATGCACAAAATAAAAAAGAAAATAATATTAGTCACATGTATTCACAATTTATAATTACAAAGATCAGCACACGTACACGTCTATCGTTGGAGAATCCTCGCACATCTGAGGGTCTGACCCTGCCTATCCTTCTTTTTAAGCGCTCGTCTTTGCTCTTCCCTTTCTCTTTCCTCTATCGCTCTAATCCATGTATGCCTGTGCATACATCATAATACGCGCTCACGATACTTTCGATTCGTCACTTTTCCGTCCTAGAGTTCCCATTTTACAATTACGTGACTCAGCCTGATGATAACGGAGAAAAGAGACAGATAGGACGTCGATATAAGTCACAGTTATGATTTCACAGATTCGAGACAGCTTGATAGCCCGAACGGCTCCAGGCTTTCGCCCGTGCGCGCTAAGTGACTTACATTACAAGCATTTAGCTTTCCGAAGTCTATGGCAACAATTGTTTGACATCGAGGGGCGCGAATTTCGTGACAATAAGCTGCCTCGACTTGTTCGATTATGTTATCAACTCAATTGCATACTTATTTTCACATTTTCATTTCGCGGTCATTCTCTGTTCTTTTTCCGTTATTTACAAGTGTAGGTCATTTGATATCATCATTTATCACATACTTCCATGACACTCTTGTCTGTCGGCTACAACTGCCAAGAATTAACGCGATTGGCGAAGCGTAGTGACAGCAGACCAATAGAGAGCAGGATCCTTNTTATATTTAATATATATTCTAAATATTTATTTGAAATGCTCTAGGAAGTCATTTCTTTTGGTAATAATTAAACATCAATTTTTTTATTTATGATTTGAATCTAAAGCTTGCATTGCATCCATTCTTATCTCTATTGAATTTTATTGTCTCTGCACACTGAGACAGTTGCAAGGGTTAATTACGCCGTATAGTCAGAGTGTAGGAAACGCATACGTGCAATCGCTCCTCACTACATCATTTCAAACAGAACCATAAAGATCTTCGTGAGGACATGGCTGGAACACCGCAAGGTGTATACTCTATAAGTTTCTAGAATTTTTCGAAAATATTTTTAAGACCAAAGAATGGAGCTATTCCAGCAGAATCTTTTGGTTACCGAATTGATGTTGATATGTTTCTCCAGAACATAATGGCAGGCAAGAAACGTAATGCCACCACTATAAACTATGTTGAAAATCTTACAGCATGAAGTAAAAAAACCCGGAGTAGAAACGTTGCCGAAAGCTCAAAGTGCGAGCATGAAATGGCAAGGTGCTACTTGTGGCTTTCTGTTATCAGTTTAATTAAGAACATGCCAGTCAACGTGTATCGTTATCTGCACGCGCAGAACCTCTACCCTACCTTTTACATATAGGTATATGATTTACCAATTAATAATTATGATATATTGACTCGAACTTCGTAATAAGAGACTGAGTTATGTAATGAAAAGTAGGAAACAAACAATCAGTGAAGATTTTGGCAGAGATGAGATTCAGATCCTTAATCCTCAAATAAGAAAAGAGTTATTAGAGATATTAAATTTATTATTTTGTCTGAATAAACCATTCTTTGGAAATCTTTACAACAACGGCATTATAAACCGACTAAATAAGGAGAAAAAATAGATCATTATAAGGTATATACTTACACGTCATCAACTTTGTCATAAATAGGAAACAGATCAAAATTTTTCCAACTTTTCGGAAATGATAACACAGTTTCTGCAATAAATAACTGTTTATTATGAATATTAGTTTGGCATTTTTATAAGGTTAGTTCATAAATACAGTAATGCGAAAAACTTATGCTGTTAAGTGACATAATCACGTTAGCAATTTCTTTAAATTATAGAAATAAACAATTAAATTGTTAAAAATAAAATTATGAAAAACTAAAATGAAAATAAAATAATTAATAATTTAAAGCATAATGTTATCTGCAATAAATTGTAAATAATAAATATTTAATTAATTTAATTTTTATAAACAAGAAGTTTTCAGCAATACAAGAAATCAAAATTTAGACAGTAAATTTGTTTTGTTATGTTTCTCACCAAGAAGTATATAAAAAACACGTTTTTTTATAATTGGTAAAATTGGTGTCCAATCCGCTTGACATTTTTCTTTAAGCTCAGCTACAAGTTTTCTTGCATTTTCATCAATAACTGACTGAAATTTATCAATAGTCTTTTGTGTAAATGCTGGAGCATGTAATTTTTTTCTAATTCTCCATCTGTCTCCATTTCTAAAATGAAAACAATGTACACAAAATATTGTTATACATTAAATGCTTCTATCATATAAAAATTAAATATAAAAATAATAAACTCATACTAAGAAAGAAGTCATTAAAAAGATTAAAACTTTCAATAGTGAAATTGCCTAATGAATTTATTTATATATATATTACTTTCTTTATTTAATATATCAAATAATTCCACCATTATTACCTTTTTTGCATGAAAATGGTAAATAAGATAAAATACATTGTTACTGTATAGTGGCATTTCTATATTTCGTACTTATACTTTCATACTGCAAGAAGAATCGTGATTTCTTTTGTGAAACAGCCAACTTTGTCATATTACATAATATATCAGCGTGTTGGAAAAGTGAAGCTTTGAATCCAAATTGTGGTCACTTGACCACCTTCCGAGTTTAAAATACTTATGAAGAACCATACGCTGTTTATTTATGATCTGCAGCGAGTGCTTTCAACACTTTCTACAGACAATCTCGCATACTATAAAAACAGATATCAGTACTGTCATTTTTTAACGATGAGAAGATGCACGTATAGATCCGGTTTCAAGCAGAAGCGAAAACAGAGAGTATTGAAATAAGTTTATACTTGTATCGCTTTCTTAAAGAGAGCNATTGTTACTGTATAGTGGCATTTGTATATTTCGTACTTATACTTTCATACTGCAAGAAGAGTCGTGATTTCGTCTGTGAAACAGCCAACTTTGTCATATTATATAATATATCAGCGTGTGGGAAAAGTGAAGCTTTGAGTCCAAATTGTGGTCACTTGACCACTTTTCGGGTTCAAAATACTTATGACGAACCATACGCTGTTTATTTATGATCTGCAGCAAGTGTTTTCAACACTTTCTACAGACAATGTCGCATACTATAAAAAACAGATATCAGTACTGTCATTTTTTAACGATGAGAAGATGCACGTATATATCCGGTTTCAAGCAGCAGCGAAAACAGAAAGTATTGAAATAAGTTTATACTTGTATCGCTTTCTTAAAGAGAGCGCTTTACTTGTTATCAAACCACCACGTATATTTTTGATACCAATGGCGGACGAGAAAGAAATGTCAATGCTTTTAGCGAACTTCAGCAGACTTACATAAAAAGAAGTCACTTCTTTCTTCCAATGCGACTTAAAATAATAAAAAGAATTTATTTACGCGTACGAAATGCTAGAGATTCAGAGTAATTACTGCAAATTTTAAAAATAGTGTGCTGAAATTTAGACACCAAATCAATTTTCTTCGGCTGAAAGTTAAGAAAATAGTTCACATTGTTTCCCTACGGTAAATACAAAGATAAATTGTTCACTTTCCCAGAAATTCAACAAAACTCTTATTAGACACTAAAATATGGTAATTCTTTACAGCTAATAATACAAAATTATAAATAGATGTTTAGATAAATTAGTTAAAAATTATAATTAGGGGAGACCGGGGCAAGATCGGCATGTTAAGCTTTACTTAAATTTTGTGTAATAAATACTGCTGTAAACTGAAAAAAAGCTTTGCATATTGTCTATTGGAATGTTACCTTACTATAGAACTGGTTAAAATCAGTTTGGAAATAAAAATAATTAAAATAATTACAACTTTACAAGAAGAGAGAAATTGACGAAGTTGCCCCGGGTATAGGGGCAAGATCGGCAACTTCTCTCTTTTTGTAAAGTTGTAATTATTTTAATTATTTTTATTAAAGTTGCCCCTGGTATAGGGGCAACAGTAATGGGGCAAGATAGGCACGTATATAAAATTATGTTATTAACAATGTATAAGTTGGAATTCACTATTAAAACAAAGAAATACAAATCCAACACCCATTTAATATTATTACAACGAAATGCAAGTTCAAAGACATATATACATGAATAACAAATGCAAACATGTTTTCATTTATCATCTGTTTGATTTTTATCCTTTGCTTCTAATGTGGCTTTATGTTGCCGATCTTACCCCGCTAGTCATGATTTCGAAACATTAAGTACAACCCTGAGAACAGAATGCCAAGCCACGATCTGGCCACGTGAATAAGTTGAAGTTACATCCTTCTAACAGGAAAAGTAACTTTCGTTATCATGGAATTATAACAAAACCTGCCAATTCAATATAAATGGAAAAAAAATATTATATGGAATTGAACGAAAATGAAAATTTGCTTGATAATTCAACTACGCTTGTTGGAGAACAATAAAAACACTACACTCAACAAGCCACCAATAAAACTCAACTGCCTAACCTATAACCAAAGTCTCCTTTTAATTTGTTTTTAAAAAAAAAGAGATTGACAAACTTTCCCGCATGCCGAAGTTGCCGCGGTCTCCCCTAATTATATCTTAGATCAAATAAAATGATACTAACTTAGGCCAGTAGAAAAGAAAACGAACTAACAGTTTATAATAATATGTTCAAAATAAAATCTGTATCTGAACCAAAATATAAAGTGTGTGAGAAGATAAGAATAAGTCAATTCAAAATTTCTATAACTTACAAAATTCTTATAAACTTATGGCAAATAGCATTGTTAAATTAACTAGTAATCTACAGAAAGAAACAATTCAGAAATACAATAAAATATTTTCCTCAAGAAAAATTAGATCCTGTGATTACGAAGGGTATGACTGTATGTCCATTAAATTCAACTGTAATGAAAACAATTACCACCAAAGCAGGAATTTTACTGTGAATTGAATAAAACTATCATATCACATGAAAAACAAAGTCATGCACAAAAAATTTGGAATGATTTTAATATTAGAGAATAGATATATTTTGATTTATATGTTAAAACCGATTCATACCATGTGTATTCAGCAGAGAATACAATTTTACTAGAAAACTTAAGCTTTTTCTGAAACAATTCTCTATTAATAAACGTTTCAACCCACTGCCATAGGCCATCAGGTTTTAAAATACGTTTAAGAAAACCTTTCACAAATTAAATATTCAGTTTACATATTTACATTTTAAGTATTCTATCAATAATTACAATTTAAAATTACAATGTCATAATATTAGCAATTATTAAGAATATTAGAGACGTTTCATTATAAATTAGACCCAGGTCGATAGTATACAGCACAAATATTAGCACGAAATATCGTATTAAAAACAAGAGGAAAAGGATTAGAATTATTTACTGATTACGATATGATTTTCTCTCTTTCAGTATTGATTACCATAGTTAAAAGCCCTGTTCCTTTTAAATTTAAAATACATATTTAAATCGGGCAACGTTGCTACCTCTGGGCCTACAAAGCAAGAAGTACAGTACAGTACTGTATTTATTTTTTTGCGTTAAAATCTCTGTAGAACAAAAACTGAAAGTACGTAAATTTTGGAAATATTTTGGCCATCCGAAAATTACTTCCACATAGTTACATAAAATACGTGTAAGGGATAGTCAATTTATCAAAATTAGAAAAATATGCATGTAAATAATCGTAGCCTGACAAAATTCATACCAAAGTTAAATCTATACATACCTGGCAACAACTGTACGGGAATGCAACAATACATGACAATGGTCGCTAAAAAGATAATTATGATATTACCACTTGTTTTGTGCACACATATAGCCAGCAGCCACTTTTTCAAACAGATATAATGTGCAGTATGATACTCTTCTTGGGCGCCTCTATGTTCTGTGGCAAATTGAGTCTAGCCTCTTCTTGCCATTGAAAATCACAACGGTAAGGTGAGAGAAAAATACATTTGTCTGAAACATTATTAGAGGTGAAAAGAGGAAAATGTTTAGGATATACCAAAAGTTAAAAATAAAGTTTTGAAGAAAATGAAAAATGAAAATAACTGTGAAAGGATGGCTGAATTTTTTTGTTTACGTGCTAAAATATATGCTTTGAAAGATATAGTTGAAAAAAAGCAAAAGGTGTCAAGATATATGCTTAAATTCAATAAATATAGTCAGTGAAAGTAGCATTATAAACCAAAATTATAAGAGATATGTTGGATGAAATTCACATTCACATTGACATAAGATTTAGCAGTCCTGTAACGTGTATAACTTTCTTTTATGAGATTTTATAATTCTTAGGGACGAGTAGCATATGTATGTATAATTACTGATTAGATATGCCATAGCTATTGAGTAATTCTGAGAAAACAGTTTTATAAAAATATACAGGAAATTAATCAAAACTAAAGTAACAACTTTTAATTAAAGCAATCACATATTTAAATAAGCTGTAGTTTTCATCTAAGAAGAACTGTATTAGTAATTCAATATTAAAAAATCATTTTAAAATTTTACTTACCTNCCCTTTCAGTATTGATTACCATAGTTAAAAGCACTATTACTTTTAAATTTAAAATACATATTTAAATCGGGCAACGTTGCTACCTATGGGCCTACAAAGCAAGAATTACAGTATTGTATTTATTTTTTTGTGTTAAAATCTCTGTAGGACAAAAACTGAAAGTACGTAAATTTCGGAAATTTCTTGGTCATTTAAAAATTATTTCCACATTGTTACATGTAAGGGATAGTCAATTTGTCAAAATTGGAAAAGTAGCATGTGAATAATCGTAGCCTGACAAAATTCATACCAAAGTTTAGTCAATACATACCTGGCAGCAACTGTACGTGAATGCAACAATACATGACAATGATCGCTAAACAGTTATGATATTACCACTTGTTTTATTCACACATATAGCCAACAACCACTTTCTCAAACAAACAGCTATAATGTTCAGTATGATACTCTTCTCTGTTTTATTTTCCTGGGCACCTGTATGTTCTGTGGCAAATTGATTTCAGCCTCTTCTTGTCATTGAAAATCACAGGTGAGAGAAAAATATATTTGTCTGAAACATTTGTAGATGTGAAAAGAGGAAAATATTTAGGGTATACCAAGAGTTAAAAAGAAAGTTTTGAAGAAAATGAAAGATGAAAATAACTGTGAAAGGATGGCTGAATTTTTTGGTTTACGTGCTAAAATGTATGCCTTGAAAAGAAAATTTCAAGACATAGTTGAAAAAAAAGCAAAAGGTGTCAAAATATATGCTTAAATTCACTAAATATAGTCAGTGAAAGTAGCATTATAAACCAAGACTATAAAATATATGTTAGATAAAATTCACATTTACATTGACAGATGTTTTTAGCAGTCCTGCAACGTGTATAATTTTCTTATATGAGATTTTATAATTCTTAGGTACAGTACGAGTAGAATATGTATGTATGATTACTGATTAGATATGCCATAGCTATTGACTAATTCTGAGAAAACAGAAAATAGTCTTTTAGAAATACACAGGAAATTTTTCAAAGCTAAAGTAACAACTTTTAATTAAAGCAATCACATATTTAAATAAGCTGTAGTTTTTATCTAAAAAAAACTGTATTAGTAATTCAATATAAAAAATCATTTTAAAATTCTACCTACCTGATGAGTAATGAATCTGTCATTATACCTTTATCAGCATGCTTCATTATAGGTCTATCAATGTTTTCATCGTCTTCCAATAGCATCTGAAATAAAATTAGATAAATATTAATTTGAATATATTTTCGTGAGTTGATGAATCATATGCAATTATAATAGTCGTATCTTCTAATAAAAAAATCAAATGGAAATTATCGAATAGTAAATTATTTAAGTCTGGTTAACATTACTTCACAAAGTTTATGATAATATTTTAATACTTTATATCCGAATCATATTCGAAATAATGGAACATTACTCTTCATTACGGATTTAAAATATAATGAAATTTCAGTGTAACCTGACAGTAACTGAAAACAACACAGAGTGTGTGCCATTTTAATAAAATACTGTAATTAAACATCGTTATAGAACGTAAAGATAAAAAAATACATATAAACGAGTAAACAAAAACGATTTTTCACTACCTCCAATGGTCTATAAAACAGAGACGATATAAGTAACATAATAAATTTATTACTAAAAGTTAGGTAGAACATGGTTTCTTTTAGACATAATCACTGTGAAAATTGAGGTATTTGTGGTATCTGTAGACAAGCTTTGTAATCCCCTCTTTACATTATGATGCTGCCAGTGACTCGAGATGAGCCTTTAAGGTTGCAGCAACATTCTATGAAGAGAGGATTTCAAAGCTCATTCACAGGCAGACAAAAGCCTCAATCTTCCCGGTGATTATATCGAAAAGTAACCATGTTTATACCTAACTTTTGGTAAAAGATTCATTTTGTTATTTACATTTGTCTTTGTTTTATGGGCTATCGGAGGTTGAAAAACACCGCCCTCGTAGATTATATTACATACGTTTAAATACAGAATAATAAAAAATTTTTTTGTGTTTATAAACAATTTCAAAATTTTATTGTCTTCTCATAAACAGTGTATGAANATCAAAACTAAAGTAACAACTTTTAATTAAAGCAATCACATATTTAAATAAGCTGTAGTTTTCATCTAAGAAGAACTGTATTAGTAATTCAATATAAAAAAATCATTTTAAAATTTTACCTACCTGATTAGTAATGAATCTGTCATTATACCTTTATCAGCATGCTTCATTATAGGTCTATCAATGTTTTCATCGTCTTCCAATAGCATCTGAAATAAAATTAGATAAATATTAATTTGAATATATTTTCGTGAGTTAATGAATCATATGCAATTATAATAGTCGTATCTTCTAATAAAAAAATCAAATCGAAATTATCCAATAGTAAATTAGACATAATCACCGTGAAAATTGAGGTATTTCTGGTATCTGTAGACAAGCTTTGTAATCCCCTTTTTATAAAATGTTGTTGCCAGTGACTCGAGATGAGCCTTAAGGGCGCAGCAACATTGTAAGAAGAGGGGATTTCAAAGCTCATTCACAGACAGACAAATGCCTCAATTTTCACCGTGATTATATCGAAAAGCAACTATGTTTATACCTAACTTTTGGTAAAAGATTCATTTTGTTATTTACATTCCTGTTTGTTATATGGGCTATCGTAGGTTGAAAAAAATCGCCCTCGTACATTATATTACATACGTTTAAATACAGAATAATAAAAAAATGTCTTGTGTTTATAAACAATTCCAAAATTTTATTGTCTTCTCATAAACAGTGTATGAATAAAATAGTGTTAATTCTTTTTGTACACATCTACAAGAAATTGTTACGGTGTTTTTGTTTCGTTAATTAATTATATCGTATAAAAATATTTAAATTTGGCTTACTTTCATAAATTTCGGATGAAATACAAATACCCATTTCATGAAAATCAGGTTCATTGTAATATATCCTTTCGATGTCTTGTAATCGTAAGTTTCATCTATTATCATGTCCATTCCTATAAAAAAATAAATTGATTCGTGATATTAATGTTAAAAATAACAAAACACGAATGCAAAATTATTTCTTTACATTGAATTTTTTGTGTAATTGAATGTACAGTGACTTTTTACACGCTGCAACTAATTGACAACAGCTTTTCATTTGACAAAGATGATTATTCTTTGTATATAAAAAGTCTCTTCTTAGTTAATTATTTTTTATTGTAATTAATTAAATAGTTTAATTTTGATTACGTTTATTGATTATATATAAATCAAACTTACAGAAATGTTAGAAACACTAATAAGAATGAATGATATATAACAATGCTCTGCGTGTAAATAAGAGAAAAAAATGTTTTTTGTTGTGCTTAAAAATTATTCGTTGAAACAACGTGAACATACCAATTTTTCTTGCTTTTAATTTCGATAAAAGTTTTAAATAAGCATTCAGTTGGCTTCTCATATTAAAATCCTTGAAATTCATCATCCAATCACATACAGTGCTTTTTGTGTATATAATTACGAGGAAACATAATAGACTTATAACTGTATAAATCACTCCTGGAGAATTAGCAATTTGCAGTATGTTTTGCATGTTTATCTTTCTGAAAAAAAGAAAAAAACTGTTAAAATAATACTTTAATTGACGTTTAATAAAATAATGTAAAAACATGCATTAAGTTTTACTCTCTGTAAGAAAAGAAACGTAGAGATAAACATTTTCAAATACCTAACAACCAATAACACTTTAAACTATGTATTAGAGTGACAAAATACATATTATTATGTCAAAAATGGTCTTTCTTTTCAATAGTACTTTATTAGTAAGAAGAGACTAAGGTTCATTATGTGTTATGAGTTGTTGCTCATTCTCCGAACTCAAATTATAATTATAATAGTATTATAGCTTTATTTAAATTATTTGTTTATAAAATCCATTACATGATTTAAAATAAATAAATGAAGTTAGCAATAAAATTTCTCAGCAATAAGAGTCATTATCTTACTATTGCTCGTGCAGAGTTTACTTTAATAAATATTACAATGTAGAAGTAGAAGCAGTATTATTAGCTTTAAATATATATCTACAATAAAGACATACATACTTACATATACATAACAATATGCATAATTATAAACATATACTAAACAATATGAGAGTAATGAGAACATTAATAAATTTACATAATGATAAATATAATAAAGGATCTGATAAATGTTATCATTGATTATGTGCGTACACAATGACGTTTTTAAATTTTGTATTAACAGAAGCAGTTTTCGATATTTTTAAATTCAAAATTAGGTACACTAAGATGAGTTAAAGGTATTAAAGTATGATATACGAAAGTGCGAATTGTATGAAAATGGAAAACTTTCACACAACTGATATCAAATACTAAATTAAAATATTGTTTCATATTACAGATATAAACAATACAAAAAAACAGTTGCAACACTTTAAAAGAACGAATAAATCTATAAGTTTAAATTAAAATATCGTTACTTACTTTTAAAATAATATCTATTTTTTATTTTGAAAATATATTGTTCATACTTGTAAGTTCTTCTGTAAAGTTAATACTAGAGTTATTATCTTTCTTCGTTTTTTAATTGGAATTAATATCATGGGTTACATAAGCAACAAGTGTTTAATTTCGATGTCTGGGTCAGTGTGTTGGCACTTTGATAAAAGTATTCATTACAGAATAATATTTTTTTAAAATTAAAAAAATACTCTAACCGTTTTAATAGCAAATTTCTAAATCAAATTTTCTACTATTTTAACAATTAAAGTAAAATTAACGAATCGATATATTCTAAAATTTTAAAAATCTGATTTCAAAATTTAAATTGTAACGGGTAATAAACAATATCATTTTACTCTCCCTCCCGTTATATATAACAGAGAAAAAGTATGGCGGTCGCTCAAAAAATAACCTCGAAGAATTTACATTTTTGTACTCAGGAATATTTAAAACGTAGAGAAATGCAAAAAGTTTGGTTTGTTTTTGTATGTATGGTTGTTAGTGTGCTGTGGTTCCATTTTGTTCATCCTTTCTGAAGCGTAATAACGCGTATGCCTTTGTCAAAAATTTGTGAAATTTTGCATGGTATTAGGGGAATTGAGGCTAATAAGTGTTTGTAGTTTAAAGGTGGAAGGAGGGAAAGATAAAGGGGAGGTGTGTCATATTTCGAATATAATCGGATATAATGATAATTTTCCTCGTTTTAACATTTACATTTTTCGATAAAATTCATGTCTACTCATAGAATTAAACATTTCGCCATTTTATAATAACTAAAAATAAAACTTTTCAATAACAAAACATCATGAACGATAGAACCACACAAGCTACAGGAAAAGTTAAACAATATGTTGCTGAATTTTTATACATGATTTGAATTATGCCCGAAAAATTGTTAATGCTTGGTGAACTTTGAGGGGTATTGTTCATCATTAGTACTTGGCAATTGGCCAAATATTCACAAGTGTTTTCTATAGTTAGCATGTACAAACAGTATATAAAATTTACAGCTAAGACAGCTATATTTGGAAAATCGTTAAGGTGTTCTTAGTTTTACGAAATCACAATTGCCCACACATTGCAAAAATTACATAAATATAATGCATTTAATGATAAGATGAAAAGGTGGGTATTTCCAGTATTTTTCACAGCAAATATTCTGTTATTACGATTTCGTAGGAAAAGGTTCTCGTTATGAAGGTTGAAGAATAAAGTAAAATATGGTTAGTACGTGACAATATTTATTGTTAAAATGCCAAAGAACTATACATTAATACGTTTATCGTTGAAAGTGAGGTTTACATCAACACATTTACAAGCAGAGTTCAAAAACAGCGTATTTTTTAAAATATCAAATTTTTAAATGTCGGTGTTTTGATTAATTATGTAAAGAACGAAGCTTAACTTCTTTGGAGAACAAGTGTAAGGGAGGCGTTTTCTGTGCTTTTTTACATATGTTAACATCACAGTTTATGCATCGATTAATCGTCTAAAAACAGTGATAGACACGTCTTGTGTTGTTTGTCTTCGACCTACTCTCATCGTATTGTGACGAACTGTATGCAACTGCAGAAAATCTTATTGTTCGATACAAACGCAATTTATTACTATCGTTTTTAACCAAACTACTTAAAGTCAAGCGTTAGTAAGGGTGTAAAACTGTCCCAATCCCACATAAGCATCAATACCAGTATCACAAATACTTTAAATTGATACCGGTATCGTTATAGGACGAAAAGTATCGAGTAATAAAAATTACTTGGAACTGTCGAAAATAATTATAAATACGGTAATGGTATCGACAACATCGGGATGTCCCTAGTAACAATAGAAAAATTAGTATATATTCTTCTGATTCATAAACATACGTTCGGATCCACTGTGACTCATGTCTGTACAATTTTTCTATTATATTTTGCAATACTTATCTGTACTGCTAAAAATGAACATTTATTGTCTATAGTAAGAAATTTAAATAATTTTTCTGATAGTTCAGAAAAATTATTTAAAATTATTTAACTAGTATTTAATATTACGTATATAGAAAATTTAGATATTGCAATGTCGAATAGGAAAAGAACGAGCAAATTCAACTAGTCTGAAAGACCTATTTCCTCATACTTCTATTTACTATATTAGTACACTGAATAAGTGAATGTATTTACAGTAGTAATGTCCAGAAGAAAGACTTTATGGTAAAACTCATCACAGAGTAAATAAGCCGATAGTGTACTAATATAGATTATAGTTAAAATGAATTAATTGTTGATCATTTTATAATTTTATAAATATTATTGAAAAACTTATAGAAAGCCAAACATGGAGTCAGTGTTATAATATTGTGCAAAAACCTTTTCATATTTTATCAATCGTATAGTGATTTTTCAGCAATTTCATAATATGTGAATTTTTAAAAACTTATTAGAACAACTATTCAAATATATTCATTTCTTTCCAAAACGTCTAAGATTTGAAAAAACTTTTGAATAGAAAATTTCGCAAATTAAAACAATAAATGACAGTAAATATCCTGAGATAAGTAATATTAATGGGCTAATAAGATCTTCCATAAAGAGAGCTTGAAATTCTGTAAACTTCACCAAATTGGACATTTCGGAATAATCGATTTTTTCAACAATTCCAGCTTCGAACAGACGAGTTATTCTATAAATAAAGTCAAATCCGGTGTTCAATATTCATTATCTATGGTATATCATCTTACAAATATTTAAAACAGCATTTTACTTACACACGACTAACATTCTTTTTCATGGGAAATTTTTTTCTCATTGGATACGCCTCAACAAATGAAAAAAGAGAATCTTCCGAAAACATATATTTGTACGATTCTTCTTCACTGATAAAAAACCGCTTTATAAATTTATGATCGCATATGAAAGCTAACTGTTTTTTAAGGACTACATTTACTGCTTCAGAACCCTTTATTAAATTTTTATTTTCTATAATATGATCTCTCAATATTTTTGCATTTCCAGATTTGGAACTCTGAAAAACAAGTTAGTCAACCAAGTTATTCAAATACATAACAAGAATATACGTATTATACCACTTATACAAACTTTTATTGCGTTCCACATGGCTGTATTTGGTTCAATGCCACAGGAATATTCTCCTGTTTGGACTGCTTCGGCTAATTCGTCAAAATTAGTCGGGATATGCTCCATTATGGGATACGTCATAAAAGACATCAATGTTCCGCTGTAACTTGACACTAATACCAAAATAGACAGCAACCATATTCCTATTAATAATCTGGAGGGAAATCTTCTTATGTGATTCATTTCAGTACCTAAAGTTTCGGTTATATATTTTATGCAGAAAAAATTATAAAAAGAAACATTTCATGCATAAACAAATAATTCAAGTAATTCAGTAACAAACCTTGAGACACAAACGTACAAAAGAGATTCCAGAATATTTTTCTTCTGGGCCAATATATTTGTAACTCTTCTGCAATGAAATCCTCTTTAATAATTTTGTGCAAAATGATGCCAAAACCGAGGTATGTCAACACTAACACTATCCAAATCTGTAATCGGATGCAAGTAAAAATAAGTAGTTTTACTTTTTAAATTATTTGTAATTTCATGCTATGTCATAATAAAGATAATAGATATAACGAACACTTTAAAAAATTTTCAGAAATATTAGATATTTTTTGTTACATTTACTTAATGCCATTATTTCGTTTGAATTGCTATATTTTTCTAAATTTTAGTAGCCTACAACCTTTTTACGTATTAAAGTTGTGTACTCATGTTAGTGTGCATCAAATTTTGGATTGTAATTTTCAATTCATAACATCGTATCGCCACACGTGTGCTTTATTGCATACGAATTGCAATACCGTAATTGTATAGAATTAAATTTTTTTATTTTTTTTGTATAATGTCATTTTACTAATGTTTCCGTGTGTAGCACGATAGCCATTTTCAGCAAGCCTACTTTTGGTATGGCAAAGTCAAATTGAGTGGTCTGGTCAACCAGGTATGTAAGCAGACATATCCAGATGGACAATCTCCAAAATATGCCTCTCAATGTTCGATTTTTGTATGGTCGATTCTAGGTCTGCAGAGCAATAGGCTAACATTTTGATACAATGGCTTTTATCCGAAGGATGTGAAATAAACCTGAGCAGCTTCATGATCCCTTTTACATGTGTTATTACAAGTGAAAAAAGCAATCACACTGAGAGTGTAACAATATTGATTTAACCAAACACAAACGACTGAAATATAAAAATTTGCGTCAGGTCAAAAATCATGACAATTTAGATAAAATTTTTATAAAAGGTTTTCTTTGAAAAAAATAAGCAGAGTGCATCGAAGCGATACCCACAGGATTTTTGTTATTGCTTTCTATTTCATTTTAAAGCACCAAGCTTATCTTTACTAAAGTAAAACACATAAGAAGAAACTTTGACTGTCATTTAAATCGTTATGATTTTTTTACTTTACACAATTTTTTACATTTCGTACTTTTTTATTTCGTATTATTCTTACAAGAATGAAATTAAGCCATTAAAGTAAACTAAATATATTGTGAATACCGTTAACTTAGACCTATCGAGACGGAAGTGCGCCAGCATCTCATTGTCAACTAGGTAAACTTAAGTTTAAAATTTGACCGTTCTAGATCCAGTTGTTTTTTTCTTTAGACGAGTTTGCGTAGCTGAATGAAGAAAAACGAAAATACATATTTTGCTTGATTTTTTCTCTTCGCAATTACTTTTATTTCATCATCTCTTTCGTAAAAAACTTTAATATTTTTATTGATGTCTACAAAAAACAAATATCTAACGAAAGAAAATATTCAAAAGTATTATCGACGATCAGGAGATAAAGTAATTCATTTGAAAATCAGCGACTCTGATTCCATTATATGAAGTAAGTCAGTTAGATTTTACTGAACATGAATCATTGCCGTAACTATAGATCAAGTTAAAGTTAAAGTATTAGAATAAATTTAAAAAGCACTAGATTATTCGCGCGGCTAAACGGCTGTCTTTCCTGTAATAATGTAGTTAACGATTTTATTCAGTGTTC